GCTGCCTGTCACACAACAGACAATCCCCGTTCGAAATGCCCTTGGCCTCTGGCCAGCTCTGAAAGGTGCCCGGTCACGACACAGTTCTTGCAATTTAAATTATAAATATTTCCTCCCATTTCCACAATTGTTTCACTCGCTGTCACAGGGACTTTGTGACTTCCAGCCCTCTCCTCCTCGGAAGCTGTCACTTGGACGCCCCCAGCTCAGCCCCCGTTATCCTGTGGCTTCTTTTCGGTTACGTTCAGTAACAGTTTCACCCAGCAGGCGGCTCTGGGCCATTGGACCATTGGAGAAGTTAGGAAATCAGCCCCTTAGGAACAGACCCCACTCACCCGTAGCCAGGAGAGCAGCGAGGATGCAGACAACAAGAGAAGCCTCCATGGTTATGGGGGAGCAGTAGATCCACCCTGGGGTCTTTGGAGGATTTTTCACAGAAGGGCTGAAATGAGATCAGAAGGGAACTTGCATATGCATGATTGGGCCGAAAGGATGGGGAGAGCCACAGAGCCATTTGCCACAGTTCTGGGGTAGCAACAGCTCTGACCTCTTCGTGGCTGGGTTTTTTGTGGCACGCACAGGGAGAAGTCATAGAGAAACCTCAAATACTCCTGCTGGAAGATTGCCGCATAACATGACTTTGTTTCCGAGAATACAGCGAGAACCAAAAACAAGACAGAGACAAAACAGGCTGCTCCGTTTGACGTAGAGAGACACAGCCGGCCACTCTATAAACAGAGGGTGTCAAAGAAGGCTGCTCCCTACAGCAATGAGAGATAGCTCGCCCAACCTGATTCTTTTCCTGACTCCAAGAGGGGACTGGAACCCAGCGGTTAGAGAAGGAGGGCCAGGAGCCAGGACTCCTGGGTTCTATTCCTGCTCTGGGAGGGAAGTGGGGTCAGCAGCATACCAGAGGGATGTTACTTACCAAAACTTCTTAGGGGCTTCAGGCTGAGTAGTGTTTGCTGGGGTGGAGCAGACGGATAGTTCAGTGAAGCAGAAAAGATTTGCCAATATCTGTGTCTCTCCTCCTTTTATAGAAGGGCTCTGGTACATGCGCTGATGTAATGCACTTTTGTTTGGTTGAGTCCATAAGTTCCTAGACCCCTCCCCAGCCCTGCCCCCACCCAATGGTGACACAATTTGGACACACGAGCACGTTGAGAAATTCGCCACCCTTCCTGCTCAGAAACAACCACAGGGCTGAGTGAAACCGCCTCCCCTTTAAATCTTGGGTGATGGAGGGCAACTTGGGGAAGTGGGTCACAGACTGGATGGGGTGGCAGGAGTCCTGGTCCTATTCCTGGCTTGCTAAGGGCATGTGGGTTAAGGGCAGGACTTCTGGGTCTCATTCCCATCCCCAGGGCCGGCTCCAGGCACCAGCCTACCAAGCATGTGCTTGGGGAGGCACCTGGAGGGGGGCGGTGCTCCGGCCTGTGGGGGAGAGCGGGGCCGCGGCTGGGCTAGCCGCCCTCCCCCCGGCGCTCTGGCCAGCCGGGGAGAGCGGGGCCGCGGCCAGGCGCTCCGGCCGGCCAGGAAGAGCGGGGCCGCGGCCGGGCTCGCCGCCTTCCCCCCGGCGCTCCAGCCGGTCGGGGAGAGCGCGGCCGGGCTCGGCGCCCTCCCCTGCCGTGCTGGGAGGGGGGGGAGGCTTTTTTGCCTGGGGTGGCAAAAAAGCCAGAGCCAGCCCTGCCCATCCCTGGGAGAAGTGGCGAGCTGTAGGTTAGAGGAGTGGGGGATGGGATTGGCAGGACTCCTGGGTTCTGCAGAGTGGAGAGTGGGGTGTAGTAGTTAGAGCAGCGTGGGGTTGGGACTGGAAATCAGGGTCCCTCAGACCATAGAAAGGTGAGTGGGATCCAGTAGTTAAAACTGGTCATCAGGTTCTATCCCTGGCTCTGGGAGGGGAGTGGGGGCTGCGAGCCAGGACACTTGGGTTCTATCCCCAGCTCTGGGGATGGGGCCTAGTGACTTAGAGCAGTGGGGGCTAGGGACTATAGCCCGGTGGGCCAGATTAACTGTATTATATTCATTGCTTTGTTATCCTGCTTTATTATATTTAATAGTAATGCAAGGAACCTACAGGCTTTTATCCTGTAAGATTTGGCTTTAATAGATAGTGTGAGGCTTGAGGCCTATAACCTTTGGTATGGATAAACTTAAGTAACTTATAAGTTATAGGGAACTGGAAGTGGCATGCCAGAGGTGAAATTTTGTTTAGAATACTGACATTGGCCACCCACAGAACATCGCTGACACCAGCATCCGGAAAGTTCCGGACAGAACCTTTGACCGGAAAGCTGCCATGAATGCAAATTGACATGTATGCTAATAGGGTAACATCATACATACACTAACCTATAGAAAATGGATACCTTAAGGGAAGAAAATACAAATAAGGACCTCTATGAAATATGTATTGGTCATGGCGGCATCAGCATAACCTACTATGTAAGTAACATTTCAGGGGCAGCAGATAGATTGGAGAGATGTAGACCTTGGAAGGGGCCAGAATGACGGTCACCGTAAAAGATGAGGATGATAACGGTGATGAGAAAGATAATGGTTAAGTATGAAAGATAAGGGTGTAAGGATGGACGTCCAAATGTCCTTTCTGTATTATCTCTATCTGCCTTGTTGAGTTTAAGTGTGTGTAGAACTTTGCTAAATTATTAATAAATTATATATTTGTATATATATAGAGAGAGAGTTCCTATGGTGTGAGTGTTGCACCTGTGCACATCGGGGTTCCCAAATTATATGATAATTTTACAATAATCTTACTGGGGCTGATCTTAAAACAAAAACCTGTTAACCCTCAAGTTACAATTATATATACCCAGCTTCGTGTCAGCTACAGGACTGAGTGTCATCGCTATGCCAACCTATCCCCCAGTGTAGAGGTAGCTAGGCTGATGGAAGCTACCATTGCTTGGGGAGGCGGAGGTCCTACAGCCACAGAACACCCCCCTGCCCCATAACCTGTGTTTATGCTCTGCCGTAGCTGTCCTGCTACTGCACCCATCTCATAGACCCTGCAGCTCAGAGCTGAGCCGCATGGGCGGACGGGATTGCCTGGTTGCAAACCCAGGGGCAGGGAGGGAAGGTGGGAGCAGCAGCGGTGGGTAGGACCCTGGGAGGAAGCAGGGAGAGAGAGCTTCTTGGGCACAGAGCCCACCAGAAAGGCAGGCGAGGGGATTTCTGAGCATGGAAACGGGCTGCTGCTGTTTGTCCCTGCTGCTCTCCAAGACGCAGGAGGCTGAGGGGGTGCGCGGTCTTTGCACTGCAGAGAGACCTGCCTTGCGTCATCGAGTTCTCCTCCTAAAGGAAACAGCCTTGCAGTGTCCCACATGGTGGCTAAAC